ATGCCGCTGGGCAAGATGCAGGGCTGCGAACTGAAGGGTTGGAGATGACAAGACACTTAACTCATCTCCAGCTGAGCTGTTGAGTTTCTTTTTCACTTCTCCTGTTCATGTTTTCATTCCTCGATTAAAGGCACCGGCCCTAGCTTACATCACCTCGTATCCCATGTAACACTCAGCTGGTTACCTTGCAGCAGAGTTGGGATTGTATAAATATTTGTTGGTTTCATTTATTCCTCTCCTCTGATAATTGTCAGATGGATGGAGACTTACCCCGACATTAAAGAATCAGATTCCCAAACCCTTCCATATAAAGGACTTATTTTTATCCTAGATCTTCCTAGTGTCAGTATAAGCCTTTTTTTTTTTTTTTTTTTTTTCTGTTCCTTTTACTGTAAAGATGAGTAGGATTAAAGCTGCTGAGAGCCAAGTCCTGGCAGTACCAAGCTTCCTTTGGGCACAGAGCTTGGGTGTGTGAGATTACAGCTGGCAATGCAGACTCACACTGATGCCGGCCTTGAGCTCAGGAGCGTTGCCAGCTAAACAGAGGTTTTCTTAGAATTAGGGATGTGGTTCAGAGGCAATGGAGAAGTCAGAGTGTCCATCAAGCCAAGCTTTAAATCACACAGCTGTGACAGTTTCTTCTTCTCCTTAATAACAAGTATTGCACAGAATACTTGAGTAATTTTTTTCCAACACAGATTTTAAGAGTTCACGCCAGTAGGTAAATGGCTGGAAACTGAGTATGACAATACGTCTGTAACACCCTACCCGAAATGATCTTAGAGTACAGGATACGTGAAGCTAGCCTTCTTGCCAATACTGGATGATAAGCAGATGTCTAGCAAAACTTATCCTCTCACTGCAGTGTTTCAAGATGATGGAATGAATTGTCTTAGGATACTAAAAGGTCAAAACCTCGCCTTGGGGCCAGCGGGTGACGTGGTGGTTAAGGGTGCTGGACTCCCCTATGGCTGACCGCAGTTCGAGTCCCATACCTTGTGACTTGCTTTCTCACTTTCCCTCTCATCTATCCCTCTCTGGTCAAATTTAAATAAATCAAAAATAAAGTTAAATAACAATAATCCTTTAACTGCTGCCCCTCCCCCCCAATTTAGTTTTAAAGCTCCAAAGTGATACCCTTGTGTTTGGTTGGCAGGACGAGACGGGGGCCTATCTGATTGACAGGGACCCTACCTACTTTGGTCCTATCCTAAACTACCTCCGCCATGGGAAACTCATCATTACTAAGGAGTTGGCAGAAGAAGGTAAGAGCAGTATGCAATGGGCATCTTCAGAATTCAGGGAGAATCTTTCAGACTGTTTCACAGATTGGAGATTTTTATTGTGCTCTCGTGCAGGTGTAATAAAGGTTTATGAAAGCGAGCAAGAAGCCTCCCTTTGAGGGAGTCTTGTTCAAGGAAACCCTGCTGAGCCCTGTTCAGCTTCCTTGGTGAGGACAATAGCTAGCTCAGCTTTGCAGATAGCTTCAGGAGTCTTTTCTGAACTTCCAGAATGGTCGTAATCTTTTTTATGTTTATTTTTGTGCTAGCAGTGAGTGTCTGTAGCCTGAAGCAGTGCATCGCTGACATTCAGTTATTTATATTTTCAACTTTAGTTTGAACTTGCAGCTGTAAAAAAATAATAAAGGCTTGGCCTCATTTCTTTTAAGACTCTGGTCTCATGCTTCCATGTAAATTTTTGCGGCTGACCTAATTCATCCTCCAGTTCATTGTCAGGTATATCGTCAGCTGCTTCATCTTTTTGCTTTGTAGGGCACTTGGACTGCAAGTGGGTCTAGACATCTTTCTAAAAGTGTTCAGTTGAATACTGGGGCCTGTCCACTAACCCAGGGCACCTTGATCTGAGACCTTTGGCTCTGTGAGTGAGAAAGCTTATGAAGCCCAGGCTAGTTAATGACATGACCACAAAACAGCTCTGTCTCAGCCAATAAAAAGAGGACTTGCTCTCCCTCTTTTTTTTTTTCTTTTTAATGTCTTTATTTCTCTCTCCCTCTCCCCCCCCCCCCCTTTTTTTTTTTGTTTGTTTTTGTTTTTTTCCCATAGGGCACATGCACTTGCCAGAGAAAGAGACAGTTAGAGGAAAAATGAGAAATCCCCCCCCCCTCAGGAGGGATGGCCATGCCACAGTCCCTTCTGGGATTTTGGGCATGCCTGCATACATACCCAGTATGATGTTTCAAGCCTCCAGGTTCAGGACTCCAACCATGGCTGGCTATCTGGGGTCCAACACCTTAACACCATACCGCCTGCTGGCTCCTATTGTATTTCTTTCGTGACAGAGACAAGCATATTTGATAGGGCCCTCACACCACAGCTCCACACCCAGCCTTCCACCCAGCCAGGATCATAGGTACGTGCCCAGCATGCTCAGGTTGACCCAGGATCTGAACTTCCAGCTTTCCACATGACTTCCCGCATTGCACAAAGGCTCCCCAGTGCCAGTGCCACTTTTTGTTAATGTTCTTGAAAAAAAAAAAGCAGGACCAGTAGATGGCATAATGGTTATTGTCACTAGACTCCCACATAGCCAACCACGGTTCAGGCCCCAAACTCGGCGGCTTGAAAAACTCACGTTGAGCGCGTATGCATGTGAGCTCAAAATCCTGAGAGGAGACTGGAGGAGAAGGGATCGCGGCTTGGCCATTTCCCCTGGGGGGTGATTTCTCACTTTCTGTCTCTCTGTGTATCTCTGGCTAGGGCACACACCCTATAGCAAAAATCTCTCTTAAAAAAGTATTGCGTACAAAAATAATGAGAATACTGTAATGAATTCCGTGCACCCAGCTTTTGCACTCACCAAATTGTGGATAATCTGTTTCTAGAAAGAGAAATCCTAAGTGTATGTTTTTATTCCTTTACTAAAAAACTTTGTTTTGAAATTATTTTAAACTTAGAGGAAAGAACAAGAATAGTATAAAGAACTCCCTTTACCCTGATCACTAGTCTTAAACATTTTGGGAGTCTGTATTTGTGTTATTATTTATTCTTGCTCTCCTTCTTCCCTCCTTCCTCCTTTCTTCTCATTTTTCATCTTCCTTTCTCACCCAACAGCTTTTATTTCTGAACTATTTAGAATGGATTGCAGACTTTACCTGGTTATTTCAGTGTGTATTTGCCAAGAACAAGGATATTCCCTTATATAACCGCAGGGAGTACATTTATTGAGCTTGGGAAATTTAATAGTGGTGAATACTTGTATCTACAGCGTTTCTCCGAATGTTGCCTATCCTTTCTTTCCTTTTTTGGAGGGGTTTTGTGCTATAGGGCACATGTGCTCGCCAGAGGGAGACAGAAAGTGAGAAATCATCCCCCCAGGGGATGGCCAAGCCGCGATCCCTTCTCCTCTCAGGGTCTCGGGCAAGCACGCGCACACACCCAGCATGAGTTTAAGTCACCGGGTCAAGGACTCAAACCGCAGTCGACTGCATGGGAGTCCAGCAACATAGCCATTACACCAACTGCTGGTCCCTGTAATATTGTCCGATTCTAATAATGCCTTTATAGCAAGCATTTCTCCTGGTAGAGGTTCATGCATCCCATAGTTGTGCTAAAGCCTGTGACTTTGTTTAGGCTGGGAGTCTTTCAGTGATTGCTTTGTACTTTGACTCACCTACTTATGTATTTATTTTGCTAGAGAGCACATGCGCTCTTGAGAAAGATAGAAAACGCAAAAGGGAGACAGCACCCCTCATGAGAAATGGTTATGCCACAATCACTTCTCCTCCATTTCTTACTCCTTTCAGGATTTAGACACTCACGCCCAGTGTGTTTTTCAAGCTACCGAGTCGGGGACTCAAACTGCAGGGCCCACCGTGTATGATCCATCCACCTTCACCGCCACACCACTGGCTGGCCTGAGTGCCTTTTATAATTAGTATCTTATTGAATTTCTTTCACACAAATTTATACACACACCTCTACTCTCCACCCCCAGTCTTTTTGAGGGCAGACTGGGTAAACATTGCAAGCTCAGGAGGTGTCCGGCATGACTAGTGACAGGAACTAAGTGACAGATGGGAAAGGAGTCCTGCAGCTCATGGACAGGTGCCGGGAGAGGAGGGGCAGGGGCCAGGGAGCAGACAACAGGGAGGGAACAGTGAACACAGCCTGTGTTTGATTCACTTAGGTGGGGAAGAGGGCACGGGTGCACCCTAGACAGCAGAGCTGTTTCCGATGCTAAAGCTGAGACTTGGCTGGCTTCTGGAATATGCGGCTCTTCGCAGGCTTGTGGTGTCTCTGTGGTGCATTCACACTGCTCTGACCGCAGTCTGGTCCTCACCCTAGGTGTGCTGGAAGAAGCGGAGTTTTACAACATTGCATCTCTCGTGCGGCTGGTTAAGGAAAGGATACGGGACAATGAGAACAGAACTTCACAAGTAAGACGTTTGGCACTTGCCAGGGGACTGTGTCCTAGGTGGCCTTTGTGTGTGTTTGGGCAGGACTGAGAAGGTTGCCTGTCCTGCTCGAGCTGGTGGGCTGTGTGGGGTACCATCCATCTGCCGGACAGATGCCGTAAGCTCAGCCAGGATCATTCAGAACAAAGGAATAGAGATGAAATAAACAGAACAGCCCTTGCCCCTTCGGGAGGATGAGGAGATTGTCACTGCTCACCATATGGCACTGGGAAGAGCCCAGGGCACTGTGGGCCCAAAGCCTGTTCTCTCTGACACCAATTGGCCTCGAGCCTTTCCATGTGATCATGTCATGTCCAGCTTCTGCGAGGTGCTGGAACCTAGTCTCGTGGGGAGGCTTTAGAAGCCGCCTATGAATCATCTTTTTTTTTTTTTTTTTTTTTTTTTGTGGGGTTTTTTTTTTGGGGCC